AACCTCTCTAAATGCATATCTTTTCTTGGGCCCAACTAATATAACACTTATAGATTTTTACCTCCCTAAATGCATAACCTCTTTAAATGCATATTTTTAAAATTTTTTACTATAATCCCAACGTCATGCATTTAGAGAGGGTTGACTGTATATCTCTATTATATCCTAATTACACCCTACCTAATACTGTATTTCAATTGGTTAAAAATTGAAAGTGATCAGTTTTTTGTAGATTAGCTAGATTTATATCTAAAGCTCAAAAAAAAAATTAGGATAACTTAGTTTTAAATTGATGTGGTCATATTTCGCTATAATCACATCAAATTTTTGTCAAACGATGTGACTATAGTGGGAGTTGAGGCGTCGTCAATCAAAACGTAACGTAGAGATCCGAAAATTGTTACACAAAATCTGGGGTGTTATTAATCAAACGCATCTTAAAGTGTTGTGTTTCACAGGACAGCTTTGGACAAATTGTGAACAACTGTGAACAAAAAAAACAAATCTAAATTTTTTAAATTTTTATTAAGATAACCTATTTTAATTTTTTAAGTAAAAATATTCAGAACTATAAAATATATAATCATGTCTAATTTATTAAATTTTAAAGCCAAATATTTGGACAATTGTGAACACTGGACGTTTGGACGTGGACATGGGCAAAAAAAGTCTTGGACATAGTAAACGTAACAACACTGCCTTAAAATATATATGTTTGATTAATGACACCCCGCGTTACAATTAGATTTTGTCTCATTTGTACTAATTAAAATTATAGACCAGAGTTGACAATTGAACTGTTTATTAAAAATTTTGAATATACAAATACAAATATGAACTAATCTAAATAGTGTCCATGTTCATATTTTGTATAATCATAAAAAAGTGGTCTAATTTTAGTCTCAACCTTGCTCGTATTTATGTTCGATGACTTTTCTATTCGAAATATTTCTAAACAGTAAGCGTTCATCTTTATTTGGACTAAATAAAAAAAAATATGGACAATATAAACGTAATCCATGTCCATTGGCCCATACGTTCGTATTCTGCCAACACTGCTATAGATCATTAAAAAATCAAACCAGATTGGACCAGATGAAAAGCCTTAAATTTTTTTCTATTTTTACCCAAATATAAAAATACAATTTGATTTCGTTTTTACATAGGAAATCGCAGTGATAGCATAATCGATACTAGTCAGTTTTTAAAGATTAAATGCATACTAATATACAATACCATGGACTGCTTAAATCGAAATCAAGTCATGATTGCAATCCTATGCTGTCGGAAATCACTAATCCTAAAAATAAGAAAACTACAAAACAATCAAATTTCGTACATTAACCATTGCTTATATTAATAGACTATTAACAACATGAACTAGAAGGGTTATGTTTTTCAGATTAGGGCTTTGTGGATCTTGAGCTGCAACTTGATAATAATATTGTTCTAATCGCTGTTTCACCATCGGTAAGAGCCTTTCACAATGCTCTCGAATTATAAGATCCTAAAAAATAATCGTCATGTTAAAAGTCCGAGGAAATGAAATGTAATGAATTGAAATCAAAGTGTACATTAATTATATACCTTTGGATTAAGTTTAATAACAGCCTCCTCCATCCATGCAAATTTGAGCTCAGTATATTTATTTAATTCTAAGGAAAGGTGGTGAATAAGCGAAAGAATGACAGGCTGTGAAAGTAAAGGTCTTGTAGGCGGAAATACGGTCTTCGGATTAACGCTATTACAAAGGCGTATAATTAGAGGTAATTCATGTGATGCAAGAACCTAAAGAGAGAATCAAATTAAAAATAAATAATAAAATAAAAATTCAATATTTTTGTCATGAGGATAAATTTAATACTGACCGCTACAAATGCATCTTCATAATTCTGAGCTTCCAATGCTCTGTCTATAGCAGAATTATTCGTGTCTTCCAGACCAGCTGCCTCTACAGGAGAAAATAGCTGTTGCTGTTGTTGCTGATGATGTTGCTGCTGTTGATGTTGTTGAGATGATGATCTTGCAGAGGAAGGAAAGCCATATGTTTCTTGCTGAGTCACAGAGGGCGGTTGAGTTGTAGCACAATTATGCGGAATTAAAATACGTTTCAATTCACCCGAAAGTGACCGAGCTAAATGATGCTGCAATTCGTCAGATGTACGAGCTACTGGTTGTTCCACATGCCTCGTAAGATTTGATTGTGGATTAGCTTGTAGATGTAATTGCTGAAGTTGTTGTACGGACAAGTTTAGATGCTCTAAAGAAGCCTGCAAACGCGCCAAAGCATTCTGATCGCCAACATTTCCAATATTTGAATAGGAGGAGACTTGCGCACTCTTGTGAGCAATATCTTGCAGACCGGCCTCAAAAGTAGCAGTTATTTGCTCAAACATTGCATTGGTAGCTTTTTGATAGGACGGAATGAGTACTGTTGTAAAATTTTCCCTGAATGTTTCCTCGATAACCGGCCTAATAGCCTTTGAGACACCTTTAGCGATTGATTCTATGACTGTAGTTTTTGCAAGAACACGTTGTACATTGTCTGCTACAGACTTTTCAATAGCAGTTGGAATGTTCTAAATTATTGAATATGTAAAGAGTGAGTTGAAATCTTCGTATATAATCATTATTTTTGTTATTTCGAACCTTATTCACGGCATCAACCATTCCTTTATGTGCATGCTTGTCAACAGCATTAGTGACCATCTTGTTTAATGTCGGTAAAACTGAAGTTTGAATTTCGTTACGGATCGTCGATTCCAATAATTTAGCTGTATTGGTGCTTAACGTCTGAGAAACTATTTTAAGAATTGCTTCTTGGCGCGAAGTTTCTGCTGCTTGATGAGCTATGCGTTCATCCTCAATTTTTTGAACTAATTTTAGAAGTGATTTAGTTAATGGGATTAATTGAACTAAACAATTTGTTCATTTGATTCAGGAAAAAAAAAAAAAATACACTGTTTTTCTAATTCTTTTGAAAACATCTTTCCAATCTTATTGGTAACGTTGTCTTCCATTTTTTTTATTTCTTTCAATATTGTCTGCATCTGAGCTGGTGATATTCCGGCAACAGAAGCTGTCGTTGAAGACTGTCCAATCGTAGAGAGTACTTCCGGACCAGATACGTCACCAGAAGTTTGTTTTGCTATTGAATAAGATTTTCCGCTGGATACTTTAATACTCACACCATCTTGAAGTATTTCTGTTGCCTTCCTGTTTTTTTCACCGCCTGTATTAGATTTCCCGTTCTTTGAGACTCCTTCGGCAGACTTTTTGCCAGCAGATTTGTTAGTCACCTCAGAAGATTGAATAACATTTTCGTTGTCCTTTTCCTTTTCTAATCCTCGACGTGATTCCTTCCGCCTTGAAGTCTTTTCTGAATCTGAAGATATATCTGTATTTTGAACCGCTGATGCAGTACTAGTCGCAGCAATTGTTTTCTTTTTCTCTTTCAATTTGGCTATAGCACCATTAACAGCCGTGGACAATTTAATATTTGTTGTTTTTTGATTTTCCGCATTTTTCGCTTCACTTTCATCTTGTAAATCCGATATATTTCCTTCTATTATATTTTGCTTCCCTGTCGATGTAGATTCATCGATCTCAGAAGTTACAGAAACTACTTCAGGTCCATCACCTGCGAAATACGAATTTTCAACTACTAATGTTTCTTTGTTAGTGTCTTTTTCGGCAATACTTTCTTCAACATTAATGCCCTCAGCATTTGAGGAAAAATCAAACGACTCCGAACAAACGGCGCCTTGCTCTTTCTTGACATCATCCTCATCTTCTTGCCGCTGTCGATCAATAACACGCTCTGCGCTTACATATTCAGGACATGCATCAATATTCGGAGGCAATAGTAAATCTCCACTTATGCAGTATTGTTGTACTGCTTTAGATTGAATACAATATAACGAAAATCCATCTGAAGATGTGGTGTCTGGTATTATAACGAAGCTACCAATTAATTGATTTACCGGATATTCGACCATATAATCAAATTGTACCGAATTCAAGATGGGAAATTCATCCGGAGTTGTTACAGAATCGTATTCAAACTGCCCATTACCCATCAAGCTGGATTGATTAAACAAGTCAAGCTTCTCTAAATTTTTGCTCGGCATGTTCAGATGCAGAGCAAAAATAGATATCCTGGCACCATTAGCGACTTGGCCTTTTCTTATGATGGGACAATTTTGGCAACTGCAAGTGAAGATTGCGTCATTTTTAGTGCACTAAATCAAGAATCTGAATCTGATATTAGTATTTCCCCTGTACGCAAAATCATTCTTGA